AAGTTTTTGTGGCGCTCTGGCAGGCGCGGCGCCCCAGCCCTTTTGTCCAGCGACTTCCGACTTTTCTCTTCCATTTTTCATAAACTCCCCTAACTTCCATAATTATTTCCCCAAACACTTAGGATCAATTGGACCCTCAATATACAACCAATATAACTCGAAAAACAACCTGGAAACATGATGAACTAACCCAACACAAAAATATCTCACATACCTTAATAGGGATCACCCCCGACGAATTCCACTCGCAAGCTTGGATGATCTTGACGAATTCTTGCTTTTTTCTCCGTTTCTTTCTTCTTTTCTCTCTTCTCCAAGCCCTAAGCATTCTTTAATTTTCCAAAACTGATTTAGGTTATGTTTTTACCCCAATAAACCCCTAAAATCAAATTAGGAAATTAATTAGAGAAAAGACTACTTTGCCCTTCCCTAAATCCGGACTTGAACTTTCCTCAATCCGGACTTGAACTTTCCTCAATCCAACAGCCCAACTTCCGAAAGGCATATCTCACTCATACGATGTCAAAATCGTGCAATATCAGCGGCGTTGGAAAGATCTCTCCAAGGGATTTCCAACCATATCAAGAGTTGCTCCTAACTCCTCCTGAGCTAGGAGTTATGGCCGTTTTAAAATGGCCAAAACTTAATTTCTTAACTTAATTAGACAAATTTTCCAGATTTCCTTATTCTTTCCAAAAATCAATATTTTCATATTTTAAACTCTTTATAGTCATTTCTAGGTGTGAGATGTTACAATCCATATATGAACTTAAATCAGCCTTATGTTTTTGTAACATCTCCTTCTCTTTTAACAAATACTCTCGAAAGAGATGTGAATAGAAATATATCTCATAGACTAGTTCCACTTTTGTATAGATAAACCTTGCTAATAACTTAATATAATCCTTCCATTCTTAAGAAAAAAGAATATTCCAATTCTTGATTTACTTATCTTTAGGTGTACTTATCTCCAATTCTTGATTTACTTATCTTTAGATTCTGATACTCATCATCCAGGCAATAGAAGCTCAAATTTTATAAGAGGATCGATGTATTAATGTTATACTATCAATTTGAAGTCTAATGATTAATAATATATCGACTCTCTACTTTTTTATGACATGAGTTCATGTGATATATAATACTATCATTTTAATTTTTCAATAGTACATAGGTACTTCAAGTCAGTCGATTTATGATCTTATATATAATTTTGATACTATATGTTTATGCACTAATCTTATCTTTATTCCAACTTCATCAAAATGTATGGATTGGAGATTGATATTTCGTTTCTCCTTCTGCACTAGATCTTATAGTTAAAATTCTCGTAACTTTTCTCCCTTACATTTTATAAAATTTGAATGATAATGGAATTTAATTAACTAATTGCCATTCCAATGTTCTTAAGATTTCACTGATGATCCCTAGTTAGATGAAAATTCACTATCAGAAAATATGGAATTTTGCTATGGAATTTATCGGCAATTTTCAGTTGATTCATCACTAATCTATAGCTAAATGAGATTAATATGAAATTTTAGTGTTTAACTATTATGGAATTAGCTATGGAATTTATGGTAATTTTAATCAATCTATCCCTAATCCGTAGCTAAATGAAATGAACAAAGAAATTTTTATAGTTTAGCCATGAAATGTTATCAATCACTAATTCACGTGAATATTAGGGAATAAAAATAAGGGAAAATGGTAAAAAAAAAATGCCCTCAACCTATTAGAAATGGTTCAAAAATGCCCTCCTTCCACCTATTGTTTTTTTTTTTTTTAATCAATTATAGACTCGGAGGTGTTTTTATTCAGAACAAAAGAAGTCAATACAAAATGGGCTCAACTGAGCCCAAAATAAGGCTGAAAATGAAAGACTGTCACTCCTTTGTATTCCTACTGGTAATCCTCCTTGTTCTGATCCTTAGTGTCGCTATTTGTGCTTTGTCAAGATTCAGAAGTCTTCTGTAACCCACTGGTAGTTGTTGGAAAGTCTGGCACTTTATTATGCATCCCTGATCTATTGCTAAGTTTGCCATCTTATCTGCTATCTGATTAGCTTCTCTGAATGTATGCTGAACTTGTGCTTGTGTGATTCTCAATAACTGTTGTATCTCCTCTATATCTTCTGCTAATAGCCATGGTATTTTCCATTCCTTCATTATCACTCGCTGCACACTGAGAGAATCTGTTTTAATTAGAATATGGTGAAACTCCATCTGCTTACAATATCTAAGAGCATTTAAGCAAGCAATAGTTTCTGCCTCCATGTTTGTTTTAATCCCTATCTCTTGAGCCTCGGCATATACTAGGTTTCCTTGATCATTTCTGATGCAAAATCCATGGGCACTTTCCCCAGGGTTTCCTCGACATGCACCATCCGTGTTGCATTTTAACCATCCATGTTCTGGGAAACTCCATGTCACTGCCTGACAATACATTCTTGGTCTATAGTTCTGCAGCTCCCTTACCATTCCTTCCCAATCTTTAGGTATCTTAATCCAAGGATATTTCTCTTTTATTAATTGAAAGATCATTGACTGACTTTAATTTGGTGCACTAGGCTATGGTAGCTAACTATCAGGAATATTCCATAATCCTACTATGCAGATCCTCCTCTTCAATGCTATCTCCTTATTTGGTGTAGAGATATCTCCCTCTTAATGTATATTATTAGCTTTCCTTATTTGTGGATATTTCCCTAACTAGTTCTTTATTTCCTTTCATATCGATGTACTCTATTATGTATAAAACAAAGACAATTGTACATCAATAAAGGTAAGACTTACATATAACTCTTTCACTAACCTCCTTTCCATGTCTCCTCGCATTTCTCCTCTTCCATAATTCCCACATTAGGATCGAAGGAATAGCCAAAGGATGGTTTTTAGCTTTATTGGAGCCTCCTTTTGCCACCATCTGACAATTAATTAGTTGATGCAAGTGTGCTCCTTCTGTTCGTATACCTGCACATGAAGCCAAATTGCTTCCATAGCTTTTGGGCTATGTATGCTGTTAGAAAAAGATGGGACATCGTCTCTTGTTCAGGCTTCGCACAACAATAACATCTCGATGCTAGGTTGATTCTCATCCTTTTTAAGTTATCCTCCGTAGTAATTCTCCTTTTCCATACCTTCCAATGAAAAAAACTGATTTTAAAAGGGACCCCCTTCATCCAGATGTGACTCAACCATTCTTCTTCTTCCTTCTTTTTTCTCATACATTCAAATGCCTATTTGACTGTGAATGTACCGCTTGCGTTCCCCATCCACCATGGTGTATCATATACGTCTTCACTCAACACTGGATTGATATTTTCTATTATGTGTTGTATCATTTCTTCCGATAAAAGCTCATGTAGTTTACCTCTATCCCACTGATTATTGGTGATAAATTCCTTGACCTCCACCTCATCTTCTTCTGTACCCTTTGATTCTATAAAGTAGAGAGCTCCTTGTTTTGTCCAATTATCAAATCAAAAGCTCACATTTCCACCTATTTGGTGGCAACTAAAATCCACTTATTGGTTTTAAAATGTCCTTGACATTTTTTTTTAAGTTCAAAAATGCTCTTTAGTTAAACAGAAATATGACATGAAATTTAACTAAACAAATAACCAATTTTCATTGGTCCACTTAATTTTTTTATCAAATAAAAAATCCTCATCCAACCCAATACCCAAACCCGTTTTCTCCGACAATTTTAAGCCTTCCTCTATTCTTTCTTCTTCCTATGTTTTCTTTCTTTAAAAAACAACATTCAATTCCAAAAACAACAGTAAATTACAGCACTTAACTTGGCCAAAAAACAACTAAATTGCACTATTTAATAAGACAACATTTAAAATCTGCATTTTAACAGCTAAATTGCAGCACGTATTATGATAAATAAATGTGGATTTTAAACCTAAAAACAACAACTTTCAATCCAACAAACAAAAATTAAAACGAAAGCTTGAAACCCAATAATAGCATCTAAATGAAGATTCAAATCCTCCCAAAATTACATATCAGATTTCTTATCCATTTCTTCACCAAAATAAGTTTAGAACTATATTAACAAATCTATTATATTTTTGAAATTTTAATGCCGCAAGATAGGAATTTACATACAATATTCATCTGCATCCGCATCCACATCATGAAACGATTTGCAATCAATATTCAATAGCGATTACGTGATTAGCCTTGAATAAGACAAGAAAATGAATTTTTAAACATTGGATTTGAAAGAAGGAAACACAAATTAAATTAAAATGGCAGATGGAAGAAAGAATGAAGAGAGATAGCAATTGAGTTAGGACTTATTAGAAACTAGCCCCTCTTATAATTCTAGCTCAAACTTTAAAATTGATTTTTAAACGCTTCTTTCAGTTACATTTTAATTGATTTACTTTCTTCAATATATCTTTAGCTTAAAACACTTGGGGTAGATTGTAGATATTACATTCCTCCGATTTAAAATATTTGTTATATTTTTATTCTCGAGAACGAAACTGTATCAATTTTAATCAAGTTTCTCGTTTACCAATTACCATTATGGTCGTCGTGATTAGATGCAGTGTTGTTTCTACTTTCTACTACTAATCTTTTAATTAGTCTTATGCATGTATCCATTTTATACAATGGGGCTGGGAAGCCAAACATAGAATACTGGACGTGAGTTGAGCATTCTGAATTGTTCAGATTAAAATTTTTCCAATAGATATAAAATTAATATTAGGTGAATGAATAAAAAATATTACTTATATCTATCTAGTTTTTTTGGTGGGAAATTCATAATATTTTTTTAAAAAATTCCATCATAAATTAGTTGTCAAATTTCATTTCTTGAGAATTAAGCTATTGATCAATACATTTTAAGATTTATTTTTCCTCAACTTGACATAAGAAAAGTTGTAATTTTTCTCAATACTTTTTGTATATTGGAATATCTAGATTTTAATTATAAAATATTAAATTAATTTAATTCATTTTAACTTTAAAGATTATTGAAATTGACTCAATATAACAATAAATTTAGAAGGGGATGGTGCATTAATACAAACTAGCCTATTATTGTTTACTTTAAATGGGTCCAATGGTCTGCATTTTTGTGCATGGCCAACAGTAGTACAACAAAAAAAAACTTTACTAACACATTGTGAATTAGTAATTTTAACTAAATAATAAAATTAATTAAAAAGGAAAGAAGAGGAGAAGTTCTACCAATATTTTAACTAATCATAATTAGCAAACACACAAAAAAAGATAATTATCAAAATAAAGGGAGGATACTACTATTTTGTTTATTTTTTTAAGTAGACCTTAGTGCCTAGTTAGTAACAGTAACAGAAAGAGAAAATGGCCAAGTGACCCCCTAATCTATTAGTCAATTCTCAACTACACACTTATATTTTACGGGGGTCTTATTACCCCCTAGACATTTTAAAAGTGGAATATATTACCCCTTAAAAGGTCACACCCAGATTTGTGGTAAATATTGTGTTGCACGCGCGGTGCCACGTAACATATATGGTACTTTTTTATATAAAAATATTACTACTATTGTTTTTCTTTATTCTATTTCCCTTCTATGTTTTTTCTTTTCTTTTTCAGCCGGTTTCTTCTTTTCTTTTTCCTTTTTCTTTCCTTTTCTTTGACTAAAAATTTTCTGCCATTGAAGTGGAAATTCCAAGTTCCATTTGTAACCTCAAAAAATTTAGTTTCTTAATCTAAGTTCCCAATTTTCTTATACAACTATTTCAACATGCAATATTTGGACCTTTTTCAAAATTAATTTGGGGATCTCATATCATCGGATATTCATCGGCTTCAAAAATTTCAATATTTTGATTTGGGAAACAATTTTATTAGAGATATCCATCGCCAACCGAAAATTTGACGGAGCTGTAGATCTTATATATGCATATGAACTTATTTTTCCGGTAAAAAACAATATCATAGCCAATCTTGAATATCTAGGTTTGATATTTAATGGATTTTCTCTAATGAGATTATTGTCGGAGTTTGAAAAGATTAAAAAAAAGAATATTTGAATGAGATATGAATTTAATTGGTGAAATCTTTGAAAGTTCAAACTTTCAAAGTCTTGAGCATATTGACTTGGCTTACAATAATCTAAAAAGAGAAATTTCATTTGGATTGTTCATGTTAAAGGATTTGATGTTGATATACTTGGATAGTAATCAACTTTTGGATCTAATTCAAATTTGGGTTTCTTCAATTTTGTGTGTTGTTGTAATTGAAGTAGTAAAAATTTAGTTGTAAAAGATACTAATTATGACCTTGATGCTTTGTTAGTTTTATTTACCCAACTGGATTTTTCTCTATATTGTTCGATTTCGTGTTCTTGAAATTATGAACACTTAGCTATGGGAAAGTGTTGATTTTTAATTTGATCTTGTGTTCTTCTAATTTCAGGCAACTTAAATTTGGTGGAGTGTTGAAGAAATAGAGAAAGAAAGTAAATGAAAAAGATAAATTGAGTAAAAGTAAATTGGTCCATAAATAAGATTATTAGATCATAAAATTAATATGAAAAAGAAAAGTAAGAAAGTTTGCCTCTCACTCTCTTTGAGAAAGTGAATTACACTTTCTTTGCCAACTCAGCATTAGGGAGAAGATAATTCTACTATAAAATAGTTCAAGGGGATAATAGGACTTTCCTAAAGTATAAGTGTGTAGTTGAGAATCGACGAATAGATTGGGGGGTGATTTGGGCATTTTCTCTATAAACCCTAAATTTATAGTATTATTTTTAAAAAGGGATAAGGGTTTGAAAATACCCAACTTTGATCGGATTTGTTGTTAGGGATAAGGGTCTGAAAAATACCTCAACTTTGGTCGGATTTGCTGTTGCGATACTAAACTTTCATGAGGACCTATTACCTCCCTAGACTATTTAATACCGTATTTTTTACCCCCTGAACTATTTAATAATGTATTTTAAAGGTATATATGTGCCCACGTGGACACATTACTATTTATAATTTTGCATTATTTTTTATGTCCATGTGAGCAAATATATATGTTTAAAATACGGTATTAAATAGTCTAGGGAGGTAATAGGTCCTCATGAAAGTTTAGTATCGCAACATCAAATTCGACCAAAGTTGGGTATTTTTCAAACCCTTATCCCTTTTAAAAAAGAAAAAATTTCATCACAAATTAATTGTCAGATTTCATTTATTAAGAATCAAGTTATTGATCCAATTCATAATCAAGTTGAAGTTCAAAACAAATTCAAGATCAAGCTCAAGAGCTTTGAATTTATATTTGAAAAGGCAAAGTCAAAGGAATCATAGATTGTAACACTCGCACTTTAAATCAATAAATATGATTGTTGCGATACTTTTCCGTTCTTGATTATTGTTTCCTCAATGCAAATTTTATTGTCTACAATACCAACTTGCAAACAGAGCAAGTGCTTTCAAGATTACTCCATTTGATATTTCTCATCAATATAAATATAAATAAATTCCAACGAGACCGGTTAAACAGAAAAACAAAGGAAAATTTTAGTAATGCAAGCATAAGACACCAAAAATAAAGATAAATAAAGACATCCACAGATACTAAAGACGTCTTCCATATTTTTTTATTAGCCCCTAATTAGTTTAGTTAGTACCTAGCTTAACAAAAAACACCACCGCCTCTTCATCAAACGGTCCGCTCATATCAGCATTCAAATGCAGCAGCAAAATCCAAAACATATGCCAATAATATTGAGACATCGAACGATACCCTCACATATTTTCATACCAAGACCCACGTCCTTAGCCTGGGCGGCGACAACGGTGAGGAATAACCGGAGATTATATTTGACCATTTTCGGATCTCCTCCATAACTCAAGTCAAGAAGATTTTGAAACTCTGTAGTATAGGAAACATTGTCATCGGTTCCTCCCTCCCAGAGAAATCTGTAGTCCATGCCGCCCTGACAATCAATGATACCGGCGGAGTACACCAACTTGAAAACAGAGCAAGTGGTATTGTTGTGAGGACGATAAGAGGGTTGATGATGGTCCTAGCTGAAGGGAGGACGACGAAAGAAGGGTCACTCATGACCGTAGCAGAAACAATGTTGTCGACAGAGTCTGTAGCAGACTCCGTCGAAGAAACAACTGAGACGGAAGAAGGGTCACTCGTGACCGAAGTGGGAGTAGACATCTTTCTATTTCGGGAAAGAAAAGGAGAGGGTCTCCGTTATATATATGTGATATTCAGATGCAATAAAAGAATAATTGACTTGCACTTAATTCCCTCGGTTTCAATCTACATATTTTAGTTCTTCTTAAAATCTATTTTTTGTAATCCATATGATATTCATAGTGCAATAAAACAACTGTTGTGCATTTAACTCTCTCTGCTTCAATTTATGTGTTTTACTTCTTTTTAAAATCTAATCTTCTATATTTACAAAGTTTTTAATTTCAAAGTTTCATTTTACCCTTAGAGGCATCCCCTTGTAGGTACGACATAACTCATCTAAGACTACATCATTCAATATATTTTTTTCTTCATTTAAGACAACAATATTTAAAATATATATCATATTTGTATAATTTCAGACTTTGTATTATCAAAATAAAGGCAGGATAGTACTATTTTGTTTAATTTTTTTAAGTTGCCCTTAGAGCTTTGCTAGTAATAATAATATAAACAAAAACAGAAACACCACCGCCATCATCAAACCAATAAGAGCACCCATCATCAACGGTGGTCGGATTGGACTATGACATAATGACTAATAACTTAAGTAATAGTGGCCGAAGTTCCATCGTAACGATGGCCGAATCGGGCTGTAATATGATGACTGATAACTTATGTAATAGTGGTTGGAGTTCCAACATAACAGTAGCCCGATTGGGCTATGAATATGATGACTAAGAAGAAATGAGGGAATGTTTAGGATAATTGTTGTAGAAAAATGAGGAAAGAGTTTAAGGGTTTCAGGACAATACTTTGGGAAGAAATGGGGAAGGATTAAGGGATTTTGGTAATTAACAAAGTTAAGAGTTTTTCTTTTGACAATAAAGTGTGCCCCTGAGAGTTGGGAAGAGGCACGTGGCAAATGGACATGCACAATATAACGTGTTAATAAACTTTTCTATTGTACGACGATGGGGCTCATTTAAAAAAAAAACATAAATTGTCTTTTTCTTATACACAAGTGAAGTAAAGCAGTTGGTACACTTCTTTTTTTTATTGATGACTTGAATTTCTGGGATGCTTAAGAAAATGCCTTTGTAAAGAGAGTGGCATCAATAGTTCCCTCCTCTGCCTTGAGAAATTGACAATTGACCCCTCATTTACAACCAGTATTAACAGAAAAGATCAATTTGCAAAGAGAACACTTAAATTCAGTTGAAGCTCTGTCCGTAGTTGCGATGGTCGGGGGAATGAATTTGGTTTCGCTGGAGGGAATGGTCTCGCCGCCGGAGGGATTGGAAGTACTAGACATGATTAGTAGACAATTTTTTTCAGGATCTCGGGTTTAAGTGTAAGTGGATGAAGAAAGGGAATGGCGGAGGGTTTTTATACACTTCTTACTTGGCCCACCCATTTCTTTTATATTTCATCATAACAAAAAATATTAAGTCTATTAGCAAAATTAAATCAAAGGAGGGGAAATTAATGAAGAAATTTGGCCCACCCATTTCTTTTATATTTCATCATAACAAAAAATATTAAGTCTATTAGCAAAATTAAATCAAAGGAGGGGAAATTAATGAAGAAATTTGGCCCACCCATTTCTTTTATATTTCATCATAACAAAAAATATTAAGTCTATTAGCAAAATTAAATCAAAGGAGGGGCAATTAATGAAGAAATTAGAAGCAAAAGATAAAGTAAAAAATGAGTTCGACGGAACTTATGAGATATGTTAATTAATTAATAAGATATATATTCTTAAATATGTATATATGGAACTATAAACTTTTTATATTATTTATAAGTTTATTTACTTGTCAGTTGTGGTTTATCAATGTTGTTGGTTTTTGCTTATTTCAAAATGTGTTTGCCAATATTTTACTAAATTTGTAAGATTTTGTACTAACTACTTGTTGTAATTAATGGAGTTTTTTTTTTTTAAATGCATCTTCGTCGTATGATGGCTTGTCCTTTATATTTTACGATATGCAAGCAAAAGACTTTAGTTTCAAATTTTTAAAATTGAGTTAGGAATGCTATGCACGGGCCCAATAATATAAATGGTATATTTTGGGGCTAATAACTAGAGCTGGGCATAATTTGGTCGAAACCGAAAAAACCGACCGAACTGAATTTCGGTTTTTCGGTTAAATCGGTCGGTTTCGGTTTTCAATTTTAAAATTTCGGTAATTCGGTTCGGTTTTCGGTTTTTAAGTTTTTTATTTCGGTTAACCGAAAAACCGAATTTATGTAATACATATTTACTACATATATATTTTTAAGAGTTAGCTGTTAAGTGACATAACTAAAAGCCCAACCCAACTAAGCCCAATAGCCATTATATCCCTAAATCCTTATCCACCCTAAATTCCTAATTCACAATTCACATTTCAGTTTTCACACCAAACTAAGTTCTGCCTTCTGCGCGAGTAAAGAGTGAAGAATAGCCGCAAGTCCGCGACTGTGCGAGGCGGCGAGCTCAGCCATCGACCTAAAGAGTAAGTTTCTTGGTCGCGATTCTCCATTATACTTTATACATATCAATTTGTTGTGATTCTCACTGATTTTCGTATGGGTTCTAAGTTCTCACATATTTTCTTCTTCTTTTTCGCAGATGACAGAAATCGGAAGTAAGATAAGTGAAAGTGGGGCTTCAAATGATACCATACATAATACTTCATCTCCGAATGAAGTTGAAGTTGACATTGAAGCTTCAAAGAAAAGAAAAGCCATGGAACCTAGGGCTGCTTGTTGGAAGCATTTTGAGAAATTCATCGATGAAGATGGAGCTACTAAAGCAAAATGTAATTATTGTGGAAAAACGTATGCTGCTGCTACAAAAGGTAATGGTACTTCCGCTATGAATAACCATATGACTAAAAAAAGTGTCCTAACTTTCCCTCTACCGAAGATTATGGTCAGAAATTAATAAATTTTTTACCATCTTCAACGGGAGCAAAGGAAGGGGTGATTAGCACTTGGAAATTTGATCAAGCACAAAGTAGAAGAGCTTTAGCTCAAATGATAATTGTTGACGAGTTGCCATTTAGTATTGTTGAGAAGGAAGGTTTTAGGAATTTCATGAAAGTTACAGTGCCACAATTTCATATTCCTTCTCGTAGAACTTTGACAAGGGATTGTTATGAACTTTATAGTGAAGAAAAAAAACTCTTGAAGAAGTCTTTCAAAGAAGCACGTCCAAAAGTTTGTCTTACGACAGATACTTGGACGTCAATTCAAAGAATCAACTACTTGTGTCTAACAGCCCACTTTATAGATAGAAATTGGACTTTGCATAAACGAATTATAAATTTTTGTCCTATTTCCAGTCATAAAGGTGATGATATGGCAGCTTCCATTACTCATTGTTTGCTTGATTGGGGTTTGGATAATGTGTTTACCATAACAGTTGATAATGCTAGTTCCAATAGTGTTACTGTTAAAGAAATATCTAAGCAACTGACTAATTGGGGAACTAACATAATGGAGGGTCAGCATCTTCATGTGAGGTGTATGGCACATATTCTTAATCTTATTGTGCAAGATGGGTTGAAGGAAGTTGGTCAGTCAGTCAAGCGAGTGAGGCAAGCCGTGAAATACATTAGACAATCTCCTGCAAGAATTAAAAAATTTAAAGAATGTTGTGAATCTCAATTGATAACTTGTAAGAAATCATTATGTTTAGATGTTCCTACTAGGTGGAACTCTACATACTTGATGCTTGATACTGCACAACACTTTGAACTTGCATTTGAAAGATATAGTTTTTATGATATTGGGTTTCTTGATTATCTCCGTACCCATGATTGTGAAGATGGAACTAAAGCAGGTGTCCTCACTAGTGTTGATTGGGAAAATGTGAGGTCAATGATTAAGTTTCTTGAAACTTTTTATACACTTACTTTGAAGGTCTCTGGTTCAAAGTATGTTACAAATAATGTGCACTTTGTGGAAATTGCTGAGCTTGATCTTATTTTGAAAGAGATGACAGAAAATGAAGATTCTAATTTGAAAAAAATGGCAGAAAGTATGAGAGACAAATTCAGAAAATATTGGGGAGAACCAGATAACATGAACAAAATGATTTTTATATCAGCTGTGTTGGATCCTCGAAACAAGCTTGATTATGTTCGTTTTGCAATTGGTGATATGTTTGGAAAAACAATTGGGGAGCCACTTGCTGATGCAGTGGATAAATACATGAAAGCTTTGTTTGATCATTATGTTAAGAAATCATCAAAAGTCTCTTTATTTTCATCATCTTCACCTACTTCATCTGGGAACTCATCGAGTATATCTAGTGTGAGCGGTGATGATAGCTTTCAAAAAAGAGGATCAATGAGAACGAAGCTAGAATTTGTGAGGCATAAAGTAGTTAGTGGAAGTTCAAGTAGTAAATCAGAGTTGGGTAGATATCTTGCTGAAGATGTTGAGCCAGAGACTGATCATTTTGATATATTAAAGTGGTGGAAATTTAATGAGCCAAGATTTCCTATTCTTTCTGAGATGGCTCGTGATGTATTAGCCATTCCTATTTCAAGTGTCGCATCTGAATGCGCATTTAGCACAGGAGGTCGCATTCTTGATCCTTTTAGGAGTTCATTGACTCCTAAACTAGTGCAAGCTCTTATTTCTCTTCAAGATTGGTATAGAAGTGAACCAATTCCAATTAATGTTGAGGAAGATCTAGAATATCTTGAGCTACTTGAACTTGGTAAGAATTTAATATTTTGTGTTCATTATATCAAAAATAATTTCTTATTTATGTTGCTTATATCTAACAAGTTCTTTCATGTTTTTGTAGATATGGCTCATAGTGGAAATGAATCTAGTATTGTGGATGTGTAGTTATAACTATCAAGCAGTAAGTAAAATTTAATTTAAAATCTTTTTCTATTAGCATTCAACACTTGTTTTTCTCTTTTTTTCGTTGAGTTGAGTTTACTTTCTATCATATATCTAAAGAGTTCCATTTTCTCTCAGGCATATTTATAGTTTGTATGTTATTATGGTGAACTGATCGAGTTGGACTGCAGTGTTGTTGTTGGACTGCAATGAAATGCACACAAGGAATGCCAACTTTCTTCTGATAGAGTTGGACTGCAGTGTTGTTACTGATTCTTATTTTGTCTTGTTGGTTCTTGTTTTGACTACTAATTATTATTTTGTATTGCTGGACTGCTGGTTCTTGTTTTGTACTGTTATTGATGTCTAATACTCTTGGTTTCTTAGCTTTTTGTTGCAATCTTGAACTTGAAGTGCCACTTTGTAATTTTGCTTTTGAATAGTAAATTAGTGATTAGTGTTTCATCATTCATGTATGTGTTAATGTCTTGATGATATTCAATTATATTCTTCCCAGTTCCCACAGGCAGTAAGCACTAGTGCAACGTGCACTTAGTTTTTGCAATTAGTATGTGTGCAAGATAGTCACTTATTAAGTGCACATCAATAATTGATTGATTGACCATACAAAGTGCACATAATTTGTAGGTAGCGTAGGTAGTACATAGTAGGTAGTGTACACTTACCTAGTAGGTAGGAAAAACATTATCTGCATAATAGTAATGTACACTTACTTTGATCAAGGATAGCATAGGTAGTACAGTAGTAGACACTGATATGTAGTGTGTATGTGTTAGTGTGTTACTGATCAGTGTTTCATGTATGTGTTGATGATATTCGAACCGAAAAAATTAACCGAACTGAACCGAACCGAAATTGTAAAAACCGAACTGAACCGAATTTATTTCAGTTCAGTTTCAGTTTGTATTTTTTTCAAACCGAAATCCGAAAAACCGAACCGAATTTCGTAAACCGAACCGAACAAACCGAATGCCCAGCTCTAGTTAGGAAGCGTAAAATAAGTTCAAAATGCAATTTAATCTAATTAAGCTACATTAAGTAATTGACAAAGTTAAAGAGTATTTCTTTTAACAAATTGTGCCCTGAGAGTTGGAAGAGGCACGTGGCACAATATACTTTGCCAATAAACTTTTCTGGTGTACGATGATGGGCCTCATTTTTTTATTTGTTTTTTCTTATACACAAGTGGAGTAAGGCAGTGGGTATAATATTTTTTCTTAAACATTTTTTTTTAAAACAAAAACTATAATACAAGTCAAAAGACAGTATATCGAAGCAATCACGATATGCAAGCAAATTATTTATTAATTTCAAAAATTTGAAATTGAGTTAGGAAGCGTTTATTAATTTAATCTAATTAAGAAGTCAAAGACGTCTATATGATAATTGACAAAGTTAAAGAGTATTTCTTTTAACAATAAATGTGCCCATGAGAGTTGGGAAGAGGCACGTGGCCATTCGACATGCATAATATAATATGCCAATAAACTTTTTTGTTGTACGACAATGGGGGCCATTTAAAAAAAACATAATTTGTTTTTTTCTTATACACAAGTGGAGTGTAGTGGGTACAATTTTTTTTATTAAACAATTTTTTTTAAAGCAAAAACTACAATACAAGTCAAAAAAACCCTACAATATACATAATAAATATATAATCAAAAATTTATATATTACATTACAATTAGGTAATAAAATTGGTCATAACTTCTCATATATATAATTTTGTTTAAATTGGTTATTGATAACTTCTCATGTAAATGTTCTAATTAAGGTGCATGAATTTAACCACATAAGCAACTGGAATAATTTGAGCTTTTGTAGATGTACTACATACTCTTTTGATTTGTCACATTCACAAGACGGAGTAGGCACCACAACCTCAAATTCTTCCCATAGCCCTTTTAATCTTGAGAAGTAAATAGACACAGAACTTGTTCCTTGAGTTATAGTGACAATCTCCTAATGCAGATTGAAGGTTCTTGACCCATCTATCTTGTTAAACCTTTTATATAGATCGTCCGAGACATTTTTAGCACATGCTGCATACATGACGCTTCCAAGAAGGCCTTTCTCTACCGAATTCATCAATATAATGTCGATCAAACTTTTTAATATATTTTTCTAGACAAATAGTACAATATCTAACACATAGTAAATTAATTAAGAAATAAAAATGAAAAATGAATTAAAATAATTTTTAATCAATTAATTAACATTATATTTTCCTTAAATATATCAATCCCATGATTTTCTCTTAATTGGTTGGTCATTATATTGATTGTTATCCGTCTCCTAATTAATAGTATCAATCTCCTATTTTGATTCTGTCACGCCCCAAACTCGAGGGGCGCAACTGGCTCCTAATGCCAAAACTCAGGCCCGAGCCGACCCTGCTGAACCATTTGCTACTAGCACATGGCAGCCACATGCAATCAAGAAAACAAACAAGTATATCTCGGCTTAAAACTAAGCCCTCGACCGGCAAGGCTCCTGTCAACTGATCTATAAAAGAAACAGCTACTCCCAGGAGATCATATAAATAAATAGCCAACTAGCACAGAAGTCCTGATTGGGCCGTCGAGGCCACCATGCTATCTATACCAAAACTAAAAGCAAGTATATATCAATACAATACATCAAACAGTCACAAGCTTCAGCAAACCAACAACATAGACCAGTATGGCCATAACGTAGCTATACACCCCACACACTAGTCTGCAAGCCTCTAAAAGTAGTAAAGATTAGTGGGACAGGGCCCCAGCCTACCCATAAAGATATATACAACAAAAGGTAACAAACCTCCCAACTCTGGCAGCTCCGGAGGAAAGGGGCTAGCCAACCAGATAAAAGTCAATCCTGCTGCTGAGGAGGTCTACTCGGTCGTCTGTCAGGACCTGCATGTATGAATGCAGTGCCCCAAAGGCAATGGGGTATCAGTACAAAACAATGTACAAAGTATGAAAGGCAATAGACTAAGAGGAGGTATCCTGATATACTGGAATAATCTGATAAATAAATCAAGGATAAGAAAAGTTTACTGACCTGCTCCTAAATCTAAACATATCAAAAATAATAAAACAACA